TATATATTCAGTTTTGCATCACTAATTAAATACTTGAAACCAACTACTTAGAAAGTTAAAAGTTTGCTTTAAGAAACACTGTGCAGAAAATCTGGAAGTGAGGTTGACACCACTGCCTGTGTTTAGGTTGATGCTCTGGGCCTTATTGTTGCTGTATTGATTTATTTGCTTTTTCATTTGGTGTATTTCCTAGTCTAATTCTCTGAACTCTGACTTTTTGAGTGCTCTTCTGATCTCTCCTTGCTTAGCCTGGTAGTCAGCCAAATATTGGACTGACATTTTCTTAAAGATAGTGACAGGGTTTATATCTGTACCCCATTTTTAATTGGATTATTTGATTTTGATGTCTAATTTCTTGAGTTCTTTATATATTTTGTACAGTCCTTTGATGTGGGGTTGGTGAAAATCTTTTCCCATTCAGTAGGATGCCTTTCTGTCTTATTGATTGTGTCTTTTGCTTTACAGAAGCGTCTCAGTTTCAGGAGGTCCCATTTATTTATTGTTGCTCTCAGTGTCTATGCTACTAGCATTATATTTAGGAAGTGATCTCCTGTGCCCATGCATTGAAGACTACTTTCCACTTTATCTTCTATCAGGTTCAGTGTGGTCAGATTTATATTGCAGTCTTTAATCCATTTGGACTTGAGTTTTATGCGTGGGGATAGATATGGATCTATTTGCATTCTTCTAACATGTTGACATCCAGTTATGCCAGCACCATTTGTTGAAGATGTTTTTATTTCCCATTGTATAATTTTAGCTTCTTTGTTAAAAATCAGGTGTTCATAGGTGTATGAATTGATATCCGGGTCTTCGATTCAATTTCATTGGTTAACCTGTCTGTTTTTATGCCAATACCAAGTTGTTTTCATTACTGTAGCTCTATAATAGAGCTTGATGTCAGGGATGGTGGTGCCTCTGGAAGTTCTTTGATTGTTCAGGATTATTTTGGCTATCCTGGGTTTTTGATTTTTCCATAGGAAGTTGAGTATTTTCTTTTGAGGTCTATGAAGAATTGTGTTGGAATTTGATGGGGGATTGCATTAAATCTGTAGATTGCTTTAGGTAGGACTGCCATTTTTGTTATGTTGATCGTACCTATCCAAGATCATGGGAGAATTAACAGAAGAATATCAAATGGCCAAAGACACTTAAGGAAATATTCAACATCCTTAGCCACCAGGGAAACGCAAATCAAAATGACTCTGAGATACCATCTTATACCAGTCAAAATGGCTGCGAACAAAAATATCAATGAGAACTTATATTAGAGAGGATGCAGAGTAAGAGGACACTCCTCCATTGCTGGTGGAATTTAAATTTGTGCAACCACTTTGGAAATCAATATGGTAATTTCTCAGAAAAATGGGAATCAACCTACCTCAAGGATGTGAAGTGTTCAGTTATGTTCATAGCGGCATTATTTGTAATAGCCAGAACCTGGAAAAATATAAGTGTCCCTCAACCAAAAAATGGATAAAGAAAATGTGGTACATTTACTCAAGGGTAAAAATTAATGACTTCTTGAAATTTGTATGCAAGGAAAAAAACATCCTAAGTGAGGTAACCCAGACTCAGAAAGATGAGCATGGTATGTACTCACTCATAAGTGGATACTGGATGTAAAGCAAAGGATAACAAACCTACAGTTCATGACTCCAGAGAAGCTAAGTAACAAGGGGAACCCTGAGAGAAACATACATAGATCCCCCTGTGGAGGGGAAGTAGACAAGATCTCCTGAGAAAACTGGGAGAATGGGGGTGAAAGGAGAAAAGAGGTAGAAAGGGGACAAGGAGGAGAGAAGCGGAGGTGGGAGTACAACTTGAGGGAATGGGATGACAGAAATGGGGGCAGAACAGAGATGAGAGCAAGGAAAGAGATAGCTTGATAGACGGAGCCATTATGGGGCTAGCTAGAAACCTGGCACCAGAGAAATTTTCAGGAATCCACAAGGATGACCCCAGCTAAGACCCTAAGCAACAGTGGAGAGGATGCCTGAACTAGCCTTGTCCTCTAGCCAGACTGATGACTATCTTAAATGTCACCATAGAACCTTTATCCAGCAACTGATAAAAGCAGGGGCAGAGAATTACAGTGGAGCACTGGGCTGAGCTCCCAAAATCCAGTAAAGAGTGAGAGGAGTGAGAATGTGAGCAAAGAGGTCAAGACCATGATGGGGATACCCACAGAAACAGCTGGCCTGAGCTAGTAGGAGCTCACTGACACCAGACTGATAGTGCGGGAGCCAGCATAGCACCAAACTAGGCCTTCTGAATGTGGGTGACTGGGGCAGACTACAAGGCCACTGGCAATGAGATCAAAATTTATCCCTACTGCTTGAACTGGCTTTTTGGAACCCATTCTCTTTGGAGGGATACCTTTCTCAGCCTAGATATAGGGGGAGGGCCTTGATTCTGCCTCAAAGCAATGTGCTAGGCTTCGTTGACTTCCCTTAGGAAGCCTTACCCTCTCTCTCTCTCTGAGGAGTGGATGGGGAGTGTGGTAGAGGGGGAAAATGGAGGGAACAGGAAGAGGGAAGGGAGTAGGAGCTGAGATTGGTATGTAAAATGAGAAAAGATAGTTTTTAAAAATAAAATAATAAAAAAAGATATTGACTGTGTAAGGCTTTCTTATCTTTGCTGGCAGGCTTTAGATACATCTTAGGGCACACCTTTTATACTCAGGCAGAAGTTTGCAAATCTGTTTTTGACCTTCAACTTCTATTTCCATAGAGTTTCAAGATCAGTCAGAAGTGAACATTGGAGATCGTTTTGGGTATTTTCTAGTTACCCGAACAATTCTCTCGTATGTGTCACCTTCTAAGTCTCTACAAGCATCGTGACTGGCAAAACCTCTGTGAATATGTCTCTCTCCATATTTTTCTCTGCAGTTTTCGGGCCAGTTATTCATTGACCACAGTTCCTAGTTTAAGAAGCTGTGGTGTTAGGTAATTGCCACAAACTACCTTCAACAAATGCTCCAAATATAAAACCTTTCTCCGTGAATAATGTTGGAGTCATATAACAAACTTTAGCTCTATAAATAGGACTTTCTGGATATCTTCCTGTTATCTGGGAATGGGGCTTCTTGAATGACTCCCATCTTGGGCACATCCCCCTGTGTCTGTTAAGTTGCTATTTTACACACATACTGTGGTGGCTGAGATGACTTTGAAGCCATCTGCTTTCAAAGAAACCATAGAATTTGGCATCAGTGGGCAAACGGGACATGTTATAAACCCCACAAGTCTTTGGTTAATATTATTGGCAGAGTACTGTCTTGCTTGATTAAATGTTCCTCAGGAGGCTTCAAGCTTCCTGTTAATTTTCCGAATTCTGAAATGGTTGCTTGGCAATTGTTTCCAGTGCTTCTGTGAAAGTGATTCTTCAAGCTCCTCAACTCATCATTCTTGAAGGTCTAGCTGTCCCCAAACATAGCAGCGTCTTCAATTATTAAACAAGAAAGAGAGGAATAAATGTCTAAGAATACATCAGCAATGGAAAGTCTAAATACATTATGGTATCTCTTGTGTCATAGCAACAGCTACCAACAGAGAGGTAAAAGTAGAGTGTGTAATAACATGTGAGGGGTAGATGAAAAACTATTTTATATAATAATGCCTAATAGTTACAATATATGTGAGCAAAATTAACTCATATATTTATGAAAATAATAGTTTTCTCCTGACAGTGGATTGACTTAGAAAAGAAAAGGAAAAAGATTGCCCATTATGTCCATTAAGCCAAATACTACTAATAAAGAAAAGGTGATTTTTTTAAAAAAAATATAGTTCTTTTGTCTATTTGTGTTTTCCTTAGTTTTCTAAATCTACTATATTCTCCTTTTATAATGATGATAGTTAATTAAGAAATATTTGTGCCACACTGAGTCCCTACTTGATGTGAAAGTTCTTAATAAACCTCAATTAATTTTGAAAAGCTTCTTTCAAAGCATTCACCTCCTCTTCCCTTTCCTTCTAAGCACTTGATTGGAACACACACCTATAGTTTGCCATCAAATGTTTTGAATGGTGGAACACTTTAATTCAGGAACCCCTTTAAAAATCTCATGCTAACCATGTGTCTTCTCTCCAATAAAAATGGACATATGCCCATTATTTTCTTAATTGTGAAGCATTTGGTTAAATTAACTGTTCAGAATAAGTACTACAAGCAACATATTTTCATCACTATGAAGGCATGTGAAAGAGTAACAGAGATTTGAAACCTTGGAGATATATATATATATATATATATATATATATATATATATATATATATGCAAAGGAGAAAAAGAGAGAGGGTCCTAGAAGGAGGTAACTTGCCCAAGAGCCTCTTGTTAGATGATAACAAACATGGGCAACATTCAGGAGTTCAAGCTTTTCTCTCAGGGCTCTTTCCTCAAGTTGCCTGGGGCCATAGACCAAAAGGCAGTGCATGCTAGAGCTTCTGTAACTCGTAAAGAAAGACAAGCTCTCCTTGCTGTGGCTTCTTCTCTGGTCTTGGCACTCACACTTAATTCCAGGTGCCCTTGGAATGTAAGAAAGCAGTGTGAAGCCTTCCCTGGCACCCAGCAGGCACTTGTCCTATTTAAGGGACCACACTGTTCCCAACCAGATGAGAGGTACCAAAGAGACACAGGGAAACCCCAAGAGAGATTAGGTAATTGGTCTGTAAGAGTACTTAGACACAGCACAGCCCTGGGGCATCTGGGTACTATGTGCTGTATAAGCACTTTCTGGAAGAGGAGGTTGGAGAATTCAGTGTGTGTGTGAGTGTAAAGACAGGGTTGTAAAAGCTACAACTTGGGAGAATAAAAAAAGCATTTGAAGAAAGAGGAAGAAATAGGTACCAGATATGCAGGAAGGAAAGCACGAGCACGGAGGTTTGGAGTCTAACAAGAGATCTGAGCTGTGTCCTCACACAGTTCCTGCTTTGTGTACATATCATTATGCCAATCCAGAAACTAACTACCCTCCTGTCTGCTTGGCTTTCCACAGCTCCCCTTTGCAGAAGGCCTGTATCACTTTTATCACAATGGCCTTGCAAAGGCCAAAAGAAGACGCAGCCTACACCACAAGCAGCAGCTGGAGAGAGACCCCAGGGTGAGTTTTGCCCAAAAACCTGCGTCTTAATCTCTACCGCCACACCAGAACTCACCTGGTGGATACAGGGATACTGAGGGCAGGCGGGGGATGTTGAAATGCTGGAGTTTTGTCTGTTTTGATAGAAGCAATGGATCGTTGGAAGACACCATGGATTCGCTGCTCCTGTTTAGTGCACAATAAATAACCCTAGGTTATTCCTAAGGATAGGAATGGGGAAGGCACTCAGGGGCTTCGTTCCCTTTTCTTCTTATTTTCTTATTATTACATGGAGATTGCAGATTGCCTAGAACCATGTTTTGGCCTGTGGTGATGGAAAGACACACAGTGGTTTACTGAGTTGCTTATGGAAGGTTGCTGGTGGCAAATTCGTGCTTTGAAAAGGTTTCTGTGTTTCCTATTATGAAAAGAACAGTATGCAGACCAGTAGATGACGTTCAGCTCTCCACAGGCCCTAGGTGTCTCAGCATCCATGCATGGCTGTGGCTGAAGACCTCAGTCGGCTTTCTTCCCTTGTATCTTCTTCTACTGGCCTATCTGATCCTCACTCCTCATCATCTTTTTTGTTTAATTTAGTAATATTTTAATTAAAATATAGTTATAAAATTTTCCCCTTCCCTTTCCTGCCTTCAATCTGTTCCTTCCCCTTTGCTCCTTCTCAAATTCCATAACCTCTCTTTTTTAATTATTGCTATATTTTTATAAAAACTTAAATATAAATACAACCTGGTGAGTGAGTCCACTTAGTGTCTCACATATAAAATTATATATATATATATATATATATATATATATATATAATTTTATGAATGACCACTTGGTATTGGATAACCCACTATGAATTTCTGGGGGAAATTTGTTCTCTCTCTTTCAGTAGTCCTAAGTTGCCTGTAGGTCTATGTCTAGATGTTCAACACCATGAACGTCCTCCATATTTGGATGTCTATCAGTGCTGTCTTTGTTCAGGTCTTGCTTAAGCAACCATATTGTTAAGATTTCATGGGTACATCTTCCATGGAATTTCTAGGAGATACAGTCTCACAGAAGACTCCCTGGTCCTTTGACTCATATAATCTTCCTGCCCCCTTCTTTCCTGATGTTCTCTGAGTCTTGAGTTCAGGGATTGTACAGCAGGTGTGTCCACCCCGTGATCAGTCATTCTCTGCTTTATGACAGTTATGAATCTCCATCTGCTACAAGGAGAACTCAGCTGTCTTTTTAATGTTTACGATCTCCATCTTTTACCTCTGATTTTTATTTCACTCTTGGACTCCAGATCTTATTTTCAACTCCCTCAGAATGGTAAAGTTTGTTTTCCCAACCACATGTAAGATCTTAGCCAAGAGGAGTTCTCTCCAGTGTTCGTACTTCTTCTCTTCAGAACAGGAACTTTAGCCATCACGGCCTTCTTCCTCCTCGAATCTCCAACTACCTCATGTACCATACACTCAGCCCATTGGAGATATCCCAGTTTCTCTTAGGCGAGTTCTTAAAGGCAGTGTACCACTAAGGTCAAGTTTCAGTCTCTGCTTTGAAGGCAGTGCAACCTCTTATGACTCTTGAGGCATCTACAGTAAGCGGGTAAGATGTTTGAGTTAGGGATTGGTAAAGACCCCTCCTCTTTAGTAAGTAGACCTGGGAATTTATTCTTCTGAAACTGATCAACATTTCATCAGTTTTAATTGGGGCTTTAACTAGAAAGTAAAGGCTTCCAAGCAAGTCACCAGATAATAGGCCACAGGTAATTTTGTTTTACTCCTTAACACAGGTCTTTCCATGTGGCCTGGGGGAAATTTTGATTCAGAGAAGCCATTTTATCATTCATTGCCTTTGCAATAATAACCAAGTGTCTAATGCCAAGTCTGTTGTGTACCTCACCACCATGACTCAAGGGAAGAGCTCTCTTTCAAAGCCTTGTCCTTGGCTTTAGTAACTAACAGCCCAGGGACACCTTTGGGCATGTTGGAAGGGATCTTATTGATATCATTTTTTAATCCAATGTGAGTACCACTGGGCAAAGATCACCCAGATACATTATGAAACTCATAATGTACTCATGTCAACTATGCCCAATCTTGCCTATGATGGCCAATCAGTTTCCTTTCACTTATATAATGATACAGAAGCCCTGTTAGTTTCTCTCCTTCAGTAGTTCAAAGGCATTGACTCCTACGTACTCAAAAACACATAAAAGGAATGAGGCCCAAACAGAAAGAGGCTTTTAAGTCCAGGCTGGCTGAAAGCAGAACTGAAGAGCAAGATGTCTGCAAGGCCATTGTTTGGATCGGGGAGATTATGTGAGGCCACTAAGCTGAGATTATTTCATTTGAAATGTTCTCTAGCATGGTGATTCTTGGTGTCATGTGATGTTTACAAGAGGGAAGATAATGAGATGGGTTGATAATAAAGAAGGAGTTCACATCTTGATAATTCTATTTATTTTTCTTTCTTCTTAAAACAGTACCCATGATCACTAGCAGGGGCATCTGCTCCCTTTCGTCATGCATTTTAAGTGTCCTAGAAGCCAACTACCGGCACCTAGTAGAAGTAAACATCTACCCTACCCATAAAATCCCACAGAAGTCATCTGGGAAACTAGTCAAGATTAAATAACCTGAATGCTGTCAATCATGAATCCATTTTAGGAAAATAAATAGAGCATGAAGTTCTTATAAATCTTTAATGTAAAAAAAAAGTTCATCTTTGTTTTTTTGAAAAATAAAAGTCTTCTTATAACTGCTTCATTTCAAAACATTACATTAAGGCTTAGATCTTTTCTGTGTGATATTCTTATGGTCCCACAATGTTAGGAATCTGCAGAGGTCAGGATTGTCAGACACTGTTCTTAAACAAAAATCATCAGTGAGCATCGCAAAAGCTGCAATGTGAAAATGCATGCTCAGGCTTTATAAACCTTAAATAAAAATGTGTGCATGTATAGTTTGGGAGTAATGCAAGGACGTGTGGCTTGGGGGTATGCCAGCTTCAGAATTTGTGCGAGCTAGTTTTATACCAGCTGACACAAGCTAGAGTCATCAGAGAGGAGGGAACCTCAACTGATAATATGTCTCTATAAGATGGGGCTGCCTCAGCTCCTGCCTTCAGGTTCCTTCCCAGTTTGATTTGTTTCCCTGACTTCACTGGAAGTTCCAGTGAAATAAACCCTTTGCTCCCTGAGTTGTTTTGGTCATGGTTTTTATCCAGCAATAATAACCCTGACTAAGACAGGGTTACTAAGCATACACAGGCAGATTGTGGAGTCCAGTTCCATTCAGACCACCACACCTCAGCTCAAATTCAAGCACATTTCCTGTTATGAAATGCTGTGTTTGGCTATACACAAAATTTTCTTCTCATACAGAAATACAATGGTGTAATGATGGAAATCAAAGACTTTCAGTATTTTCCTACCAGCATTCCTCAGCATGTATCAAATTAGTATAGCATTAGATTGCATTGTATTATAATATTTGATTTCAAAAATTGCTGTTTGAGCTGATGACTTGAGTTTCAAAAAAAATATTGAATGAATTTTGGTTGAGGCAGAATTTCCAACAATTTCTCTAATAGACTAAAACACTATTTTGTACTACGTGTTTATGAAAAGAGGCCAATTAAAAAATAAAAGCATCTATCAACTCTGAGAAACATTTAAAATGCTTAATCAAATATTTAGCCAAGATTTAATACTGTAAGCAGAAACAAATATATCTAAATATGCAAATATCCATGCTCAATATGCAAATTTGCCCTCATGTTTACTAAATGCTAAAATTATAGGTGTACCAGAAAAACTATCTTAAAATAAATGTCTTTATGATTTGTTATCATTAAATATTGGGTTTGTATAACTATTTTATGTTTCTTGATACTCAGACTCGTGTAAAAAGAAATCTTGAATACAAAATGATCATGAGTTGAAAAAGTTAAGAAGTCCCATCCTGTACCAAATAATTCCATCTGTGCATGTCACCTCAGCTCCATCCTTCATGGCCCCTTTACTCCCTGTTTGTGACCTGTAAATGGTAGCATAAAGCCCAAGGGACTGCAAGCAAGCAAAAGATGGGTGGAGTTACTATGAGCTCTTGGGGCTGCATTCATCTAGGCAGCTGTTTGGCCTAAGAAGCCAGGATCCATTACCATACCCAAAAGTACATGAGAAGGACAAGCAGTTGATAGGATAAAGATGGATGAGTGCAGCAGGTTTCTCTCTGTGCTTGGTTTGTCTGTAGAATAGAAATTTCAACAATGCCTCTCCACTTAACATGAGTGAAAACTAGATAAAAATGCTAAGAAGGGGCTCTAACATGCCACCTATAATACACCATTAATATGCAAACATGTATATAACTTCTTCCAGTTTTTTCTTCTGTCAAATTATTGGCATACTATTGAGTATCATGACTAAACTTGTGTGTTGTTTGTCTCTTTGATGTCTTTATGTAGTGTGTATCTGAATATACAGTAGACCTTCCATAAGTAATGGCTGAATAAATGAATGATAATCAACTTCGTTTTAAATCATAAAAATCCTTCCCTAATTATTTTTTACCATTATTCTAAAATACATATCTAGGTAACAGAAATATTGTCTTCTACCTAGTGAGTCATTTGATGCATTCATATCAGGGGTAAAGGAGGACAGTTGTTATTTCATTTCTTCCAAGCTTATCCCTAACAACTCACATGATGAACCATTTTTATTTTCTAAAATATTGTATAGTGTATTCCTAAGCATATTGATAATCATGGCACAACCATGGACATACGCATATGGGAAGTTTAGGTAGTGAACAGGATTTGAAGATGTGATAAATCAAACTCTGAGATGAAACAATGAAAATAAAAATGCATTTTCAATACCTTGTTCAAAAAGAAACTAATGAACTGTGCCATTTTCAAACCTTCCTGAGATTTGTCTAACTTCTTTAGAGCAGCGTCAGTAAATCTCAAAGTCAAACGTAATTGTGGTTCCCAGTTAACGTATCAAAGTCGCATAA